TTACAACCAAACACATACGTGACTATTGTTTTAATATTTCCTATGAACATCGTTTATTCGATGAATAGCGGAACTTTCGAATCTAACATTTTATAGGAAGAAAATCAAGGTTACCCGAAAATCTGGAAACTACGCTGTACTACATATTCTTCGCCTCCCGATATCCGGCTGTCACGGTTAGCGAACAGAGCAAGACAAACGCTCGTTCGTATTCTTCCGTTTTCGAAGGTTGAATACATGACGGGGCCATGGACAGCCGGGATCTCTCGGGAAGGGCCGCAAAAGGCCGGCTTTCGGTTTTTTCATGGCAGCTGCCAGCAAACTAGGATCACCGGGTACACACACTATCGCATGAAAACCTCGACCACGCGTACGTTCGCGCGGTGACCGTGTGCGAGGGACCTCGTGTGTGTACTCGTACACAATAGAGGAACGAGGAATAGCGTGCATGTGTAGACCGTGTGTGTATGTGACCGTTCGTGTTGCCGCTCGTGTGCCACGAATCCGTACCACACATATGTATCGAGTTTCAGAAGGCACGTTAGGCGTTACCATCGACTTTCTTATATGGAATCGCGTGCGAGAGACAGGTATACGCGCGTGAGCGCGAGCACGAGCGTATACGCGCCTCTGAAAAACGGCCGTAGGAAATAAAGGCGAGTGTATATGCGCGTTTGTACGTGTCGCGAGAGGAATAATTGCAGCCGCGATAGCCACCGCCACCGCCGCGTAATCTGATGCGTGTATCACTTTTGAGCAACAAACGGACGAGCCCCTTATCGGTTTCTTTGTCTCGGTGAAATTAAATCGCTCCAGTTTCGAGGTACGCCGATAATTACACACCTTGTGCAAATTAAATCGTTTCTTTCAATAGCGTGGCCAGAACGAAGATCTTATGATAATTAGTTAAGCGTGCCGGCGTTGTAATCTCCGACCGCTACTGGGTGACGCAGATAGTTTGTTCTATTGTCTCGATAGTGTTAAGATCGGAGGGAACGAAGCGTCTAATACGTTGGGAACGCCGATTGTATCGATACGGAAACCCGTGAAGTAAGGTTTCTTATTATTTAACGAACGAAATTCGTTATCGAGTGATAGATGCGGCTTACAAATGTTTTTAATCGTTGCATCGATAAGACGGATCGAAGCACGATCGTGTGTGCGTGAGTCGACGCGAAGAAAAGACATGTTTTCCGTTCGACGGCTGAAAACGCACGCAGTCCGTGTGTGCGTTAATTACAAGCACTAACTGCACTTTTACTTCCTGCTCGCTCGTTGCTCGTTATATCGAGGACCGAAAGAACATGTCGCATTCGGCTGCGAAACGAATTCTCTCCGGCAGGGTGCGTTGTCGTGGCTATTGTAAAAACGATAAACTCACGGAACGAGTGGAATCGAACCTTTTACGAGTACATATGTACTTTCTTTCAACGTTGACGGAGCTATTTACGAGATACGACGAATAAGACACAGAACTTCTCCCGTCGATGTTCTTCTTCGTTTTAATCGTTTTCCCTTGCGCTACAAAGGCGCTACAATAATAAATGTCATAATTACATTTCACGACTATTATCAGGGAAAAAAGTAACTAGAAGAGGGGAACGAAAAAATGACCAGGCTCGTTTCGCGGAATGAAAATGTAAAAACAATTCGAGTCGCCGCTGCTCCGAGACTTGGTAATTTGCCGGATAATTGATTAATTAATCTTAATCAAAATAGATTACTCTTGGCGTAAGGACGTTAACGGTCGTACATTTGAAGTGATTAATTCAACGGGCATTAATAATTCTGGATTCCATTGTTCCTGTTACTCTCTCTATCGGTTTGTCTTCGTTTATCCCACTCCTCCCCCCTTTCCCTACTTATCTTTCTCCCTCTTACGTTCGCTAAACTATGCGTTGCTTCCCTCCACCGATGCAACACCACGTTTCAGCGAACTCACGGATGTGTACGTTTCGGCGTGATTTTAACTCGAATCACATTGCTAATACATCCTCGTTTATTATGGCTTTTGTACGCGCGAACGCGATCTCACAGTAGTCGCCCTATTGTTCCATTGTACCATATAATATCCGTCAGCGATATCTTGAGCCTCCGCGAGCATGCCGAGCGGCAAGGTCAACGTTAAAACACTTAAAACACACAAACAGTTATCGACGGTGAATCCATAGGGTGGCTGCAATCGCGCACGATCGTTGGAAATTCGCAACAGAGTGCGATCATTTATTCGTATTCGAATTTAGAAAGAAAGTGGACCAATTAATGGTTGTTCAGCTTGAAATAAAAAGCGAGTAACAAGGGGAATAAAATGTTTCGAATTTTTCCATTAGCTGGATTCAATTTTAGTAACTTAATGAAGTAAATTTAATTATCTTCTATCTATCAAATATTCAAATATAATTTAGTGACATTATAAAATGAGCCCAGATATCTTCTCTAAACGATAATACATTTTAACTTCAATTTGAATAGACAGCAGAAGAGGTTAGATTTTCTATGTTTTATAAAGAACAACATTAAATGTTACAACGCTAAAGTACTAAAAACATCAAAGTATTATTTATCTTAAGAGCCATATTTTTAGCTCCTACAAATTTCTTCGTCAATTCTACCTTTGGATCTAACAGATTCTTTCTACCTTTAACTATTTTATTTAGTCATAAAGTGAATTCAAATTGAAATAAAAAGAATTACCAAAAACGCACTCGTCACGTTTTTTTCTACGATCTTTATGTACAGAGACAGTTTCGGTAACGAGGTCAAACATCATTATTCCCCTCTAAAACCATAATTACTACGCTGTCACCTAAGAAACGAGCAAATAAAATTATTTCTCCCTACTATGTAGTTGGAACAAGGGAGATGTTTCGTGACCGAGTCGAAGTGATTCTTAGTTTTTAGACGAGCGAGCGAGCGCACGCGGCAGTCGGTCGGCTCTCGTATCGATCACGCGACAGCTTCGGTGTAAACGCATTTCTCCCCTTTCTGCGCGAGAGGCGACATCTAATGTCATAATGAATCGATAGACATTGTCAACCGTTACGAGAATTCGATTATCACGAACGGTATCGTACAGACAGCGACCATGTCGTTAGCGTCGTTCGCTTTTCCCGTTATCATCGACATCGCTATCGTTTGCCGTCTCCGGAGCGAGGAAAAAAAAATACACGAAAAATTTTCAGCTTCCGAGAATCGACGCTTGGGCGCCAAGCGATTATTCTTCGTTGCGTGAAGTTTGCACCCGTCAGCGAGTTCTCGTTCTCGTACCGCTTTTAACGCACCGGAAATAAAAACTGCACACGGGGGCGCCTCTCGTCCACCTCCCCTCTCCCTCTCTCTCACTCTCTTTCTCTCTTTCTCTCTAACCCTCTGTCGAAAGAGAGGAAAAGAGATTCAGTGGGGGAAAAAAATACGCGCGATGGCCGCGAGCGCACCTCAAAATTCTAAATAAACCAGAGACACCCGGAGACGTAACGAGCGGTAACAACTGTCGCGCGCCGTCGTGAATAACGACGTCGATATAATCGGGGATTTTCGAACGGGCGCTGCGTGTAACGACCAACGTGACTACGGGCCGTAACAAAAATTTCAAGCATTACGCAATAAATATAGAGAAGACATCGTTGCAAACAGCGAATTCCGTGCAACGTGCTCTGCGTATATCTCTCCTTGCTTTTCTTTTTTCTTTTCTTTTCCCGTTTTTATTTTCTTTCATTATTTTTTGTAAAAAGAAAGGCAGTTTGTATTCTCGTATCGACACGTAAATACACAAGTATCGTAGGAGTATGCATTTTACTGCATAATGTAATTTCTTTGAACGATAACGTGGAATCGATTAGTCGAAATAAAGGATTTTTTTAACAGACACGGGTTCCTTGAACGAGGAGTAGTTTGGCCGCCATGGCCGACGACAATACGTCTCATTAGCATAATGGCGAGAACGAGCGCCGATCGAGTATTACGGTACACAGAGAGAACCAACTCGACTCGATGGTGGTCATTGTCATTTAAAACCATTTCGAGATGAAACGTCTGGCGTTTCAGTGTGTTCTCGCGAAGCGACCCGATTATTACACAATCCACGAACCGCATGTAATAACAAGGATTATTTAATTAAATCGGTTCTCTTAAAAGGTATAAGGTTCTCTTCTCTCGTATAAACTGACCAGAGCGTAAAAGATTTTAGTATCGACGGGAATGAAGTACACGCTTGTTTAAAAACGATTATTTCTCCTGTTAAATAACCTGCTATTTCGTTCGGGGTTTTATCGGCGAGGAATTCCGGGCTACAGATTGCACAGTCTAATAGCACGTACTAAAACTGCCTACGGTCAACTCGTCGCCGAGAACGACCCTAGCGGTGGTAGTCCTCAGGATTAGTAACGGTAAACAGAAAACTTTTGAATCTCCCATGGCCATGTATAACTACGCTACTATTCACTGACGCTACTCTCTGAGTCTGTTCTAAGCTTTTACGATCCCGTTTTCCTATGTGAGAATTCGTTGGTACGCAACCAACGATTATTCAATTCCCGAAATGTGTTTAAATTTGTGTTATGAAATGATGGATAGATAAAGATTTGCAGACGGATCCACATGACTCGCGCCATCTGACACGCGTACTGCCAACTTACTAACCCCGATAAACAATAATTATAATAATAAGATAACGAATATGTCCGAGGTTACTACCACGCGTATAGAATACAAACCCTGCGAGCACTGTAAACGCTTTCCTAATTTTGATTCTTCGCGTCGGACAAATACAGAAACTTTAATCGAACTCCCACATACCATATATGTATGTATGTCGATACATCTTCCATGGGAGAGCGTTTATAATTTTAATAGGGTGTTATAAATACAACTTAACACCAATTGCTCTACTTCTGCGAGAATTGCCGCTATTACCAAGGGCGGCGTTAAACGACACCCTTGGTTTAGCTTAGGTTTCAAAAACGAGCAAATAATATATTTGATATCGAAACTGTTTTCTGTACCTTGTCGTCGCCCACAGGAAGTGGCCTCCGCCGCCAGCCGCTTTTCCTCCCTTCCTCCTCTACTCCTTCTCTTCTCTCTATCTCTCTCCTTCGGTCGGTTTTCCAGCGACACCACTGTTTTCACCCACGCACGAAGCAATAATGACGAGGCCTACGTTCGATCACTGGCAAATCGGACGCATCCTTTCCAGTTTCTTCTTCCCGTCCTTATGCGTTTATCTCTGTCCCATACGTGCCCTTTGTCCTACTCCGTAGGCAGTATATACGTGTATACAAACACGAGCAATCGTTGCGTCTGCTTCTGTCAATTCTTTCTCCTTCTCCAATGCGTTTCTTCGAAAGCAGAACAATAAGCGCGCCCTCTCACTCTCTGTCTCTCTCTTGTCTCACTGGTCCGATACACAGAACGGTACAACTGTAAATTTCTTTCCTCCTCTCTTTATCTATGTTTCCTCACGGTTACCTTGCGATGCCCTCCCTTCTCCGTGTCCAGTTTCTCTTCCTGCATTCGCTTCCTCTTGATTTCACTCGTTTGCACAGAAATTGAATTTCCAACGGGCCGTAGGTGGAGAGGAAGCGCACGAAGAAGGAAGAACGTTGGCTGTGCGCACAGCTGCGATCACGGAACCTCGTGATCCTGAGGAGGCGACATTTCTACGCGGTACGGGAGCGACACGCGATTTCGTGCAAGCCTCGGAGTCGAGTGAAAGGGAGAGGGGGAAACACGGGGGAGAAAAAGAAAGAAAGCAAGCAAGCAAGAGCCCGGCGTTGTCTATAAGCCGGCGAACGGTGAGTTTTCCTTTCCTTCGGAGCCACTACGAGGTGCCCTTCTCTCTCTTGCCGTCTTCTTGCCTGTAGAGCTCCAACAGCCTCTAAACAATGAATACAATACGCCATGATGGCTGACGTGCGGACAAAACGCGCGCCGAACAATGTCCCGCGAAAAAACGCGCAAGGGTTCTCTCCGCCGCGACGCCGCGAAGAACAAAAAAAGAGAGAGAGAGAGAAAGGAAAGCAAAAAAAAGGAAAATACGAACGAAAATACGAGAGACTAGTCGTTACCTGTGCTCCGGGGACCGGGAAAAATAACGAAGAAACGAGAGAAGAGACGTAAGACGATGCGGGTCATGTTTTTTAACGACAGACGCGCAAATACGCGAATTCACAGAAAATGTCTACCAACCCGGTAAATATGTACCTTGGGCGTTCCTTGCGAAGCGAACACTCGGGACTCGCATGTTGTTTCTAAGTTCTTAGGCTCGCGATCAAGCGAATTTTACGATTATGTACTGTTGACTTCGCGCCAGAATACGACACACGAGGAGGAGGCTCCGTAAAACAATCGTGGCGTTCCACGGATCTAGTTCTCAGGCGAAAGAAATACGGCACGTTCGCGAGCACGATACGCAACACCACGGAAATGGTCGAAGAGTGCACGTTTCCTTGTGTCACACACTGTGTCCCCGCCGTTAAAGCGGATCTAATGACCGGTGCTGCCGCAAATATCGACCGACGATAACACTTGCTCTCATTCTCCGCTTACGGCGAAAACTGAAATTCCAAACGAAACTGTCGCCAATTTCGAAAAGTGATAAAACGAATAAGCCGAATGCACGTCAGAGATCGAAACAAATAGTCAGGTCTGCCAACTTAAGAATACTACCAAGCGGCACACACCCTACTCCATGTTTGATTGCTCGCTATGAAAACACATCGAATATGTATCATAATAGACGGTGTAATTACCACTATAGAATATCTTTCCGAACAAACTGGCCAACGAATCCTCGTTATTCCTGTGTCACCGACAAACAGCTCGGTTGTATATTTCTCGGACAAACAAGCAGGAGACGCTACCGCCTCTACTACGTCGCTATAGTTTCCACGCTATATACCCTTCGTTTCTAACGCGGAACGATTAAGTAACGAGGCGAGCTTGTACGAGTCTCTCGTTCTCCCCGTGCACGAGAATAAATTCACCCTGCACGCCCCGCGTGAGGATCGATACGCACGATTATTTCGGGAACTCGCCCCGTTCTTGTCGAGTGCGAGAGCGATTTACCGCGTGCGACAAAGAGGGAGTGAGAAAGAGAGAGAAAAAGGACGAGTAACACGGAGAAAGGAATAGAAAGAGAGGGAGGGTGAACTAGCAGATAGAAAGAAAGGGAGCCGCGCGGAGAAAAAGAGGGGTAAAGAGTCAGGACGAAACCGTAGCGCGTGGAGAGACAGAGAGGCGGACGGAGAGGGACCCTTTTTGCCCCTGGAACGAAGGCTGCAAAAGAGGCTCGGGGAAAGGTCGAACGGGCACGTAACGTCTCGTACAACGCGGCAGCGCGCGAACGTTCAACGTTTTTCAACGTGGCGACGGAGACGACGACGACGAGAACGACTGTGACTACGACAACGAGAACGATCGATTTTCATCGAAAACGTGGACACAGTCACGACGACGCAACACAGAGTTCGTCCTTCCCGAGTTCGTAAACGAGTTCATTCGACAACCAGCGAATCCCACGATACCGAGTGGCGCGTTGCGTGACTGAGCACGAACGAACGAAGCCCGGTAATAAGCGGCTGAGAATCGTTCGAGGCGTATACGAGTCCTTTTCCACTATAACAAAATACGCTCGACGTAACCTCGATCAATTTACGGGGCGTTCGTAGGTAGATAGAAAATTATGCTCGCTACCTGCGTGTCTCGAGTTCCACCGGCAATATAAGATACCACGTCTCCCTGTTTTTCTGTCTCTGTGTCTCTTTTTACTCCTCTGCGTTTCTTTTTATCGGTAGAATTCCAATGATCGGATGTAGCTACGAGCTCTTAAAGACTGTTCGAGGTAAACGTCGCGTTTCATCGTGTTTCTTTTTTGAACAGAACGAAGGAATCGATTTTACAGGACCGAATTTGTGAGGAAAGAATTTTCGTTCGGACGTTATTCCAGGAAATTACGGTACGTTCGTTAATAGCCCGTAAAACGCATTTTGAATAGACTATCGCTAGGCTCGCAATAAAATAAGGTCACCACGCTGCCGAACAATTTGTCGGAAGCAGTAAAAGCGTCGAGTTAGCCGGTACGAAAGTTCACTCACTGCAGCATCAACGAAGATCGTTTGGAAATTCTATACGTCGCTTTGGATTTAGGAAATGAACCGACTGGATATGCGACTTGCTTTCCTTTCTTTCAAGTCACAACTACGATTACTCGCGTAAACATAACAGAAGAGTGTTTGGAATACCCTATGAACTATCAGTGTACATATCTTGCATTGTCAGCTCTTCTAACATAATATTTATATCCTATCGAGCAATTAACTATCAACTGAAATATCGTTGAGTTGTATTTTCAGATGCATTAATATTTGTTGATAAATTTCCTCAGTCAGAAATCAATTTTTATTGACTTTTATCGATGACACGACTTAACTAAATCACTTAATCAAATTAAAGAAAGCATTAAAATCACGATTCACCTTATAAATGGGTTTGATTATAACAAACGTGAGCCTATTCGTCGCACTACGAACAAGTTACAAACATCTATTCATTCAGCCGGCGTTTGCTAGTTGACTTAAAGGATTCATAGATTCTTTATTCATGTATGCTAATTGCGCTCCGCGGATTACGCCGGTTAGTCACGAGATTCATCAGCTGGAAGGGTGAGCGCGTCGTTTAATGTGCTGAATCCAACATTTCGTCGTTTTTTCGAACGACCGTTCGTTGTTAACAATTATCGTTGCTGGTCAGATCGAAACTATCGAGGCGGAGAAACGTTTTCGTCTGGCACGATACCATGCTCGGTAACAGCGACTCCTCTTCCGCGATTAGTCACGTTTCGATTTCATAAGACGATCGATCCTTCTACAGAAGATACGCCCCCTTTGTCTTTTCTGCGCTCTTTATCTCGCCCCGGAGACATTTAATATCGTTCGGACATGAAATGCTAAAATTTTACGATCGAGACGATAGCAGGCTGAAACCCCCGAATCGATCGGATAAATTGAAGAAAATCGTCTCTTGGTAAAAGTGATAAATAAATCGAGCGTTTCATCGAATCTATATGTACATTAATCCTAAATCTATATACGTATTATCTTAAGATTTTTCTAGTAATTAGCTCAGCGAGTGTTGCTTATCGCTTTGTTAGATGCAATGCATTGAAATATTATGGCGTTTCTTACTTCATTTGAGGTAAAATTTGTTAAAGTGTTCCGGTAAACGTATCTAACAGATGCGCTAATACTCATAGCCAAAAATGTATATACTCACAAAAACGTAGAGAAACAGAGAGAAAAAAGGTTGACGAGAAACAAAACACTAAATTCACTGTCCTGGCACTGCGTTCGAACATCCACGACAAACTGAAGATGAGCTACACAAAGTCACAGATAGAGACGGCTGATCGAGCCAATCAGACGTGACACTGTAAAAGAACGGCCTAGGTCATTTCGTCCGCCAGTCTACGAGTCTGAAGGTATCCTCGAATTCGCTTGACCGCTAAACCTCTCTAAGTCCATTCTTGCCAACATTCGAATTCCACCCGGCGGTGGACGATTTAACCGAGCTCTCTGTGAATTTCTTTTCTTATTTCAACCGGATAAAAGCCATTAAAAGGAAAAATACGCGAGTTTTATCTATGGAAGGAGGAAAAAATTGTTCCCTCTCTTTGTTTCGCGAATCATATTCAGAGGAATGAAGGCGAAGATATTCTGCAGAACGTTACGCTTGAAAAGGTAAGAATCGTTGAAACGAAACACGGAAATAAACCGACACGCGTGAAAAGCCGAGCGCGTAGCAGCAGCCGCGATGGGATATAACTGTTTCTCGAATGTTATCGATCTATTTGTCAGCGATGTAAGCTGCATCGAGGTAGTCGAGATTACGCGGCGAAGCGAGCCCGTAATTTTCGCTAGAAAACCAGAGCGTGCCTAGTATGGTCGAATGAGTGACGTATACGTGCTTCCGTTGCGTTATCGTTTGACCGATCCCCCCACCACTCCCTCCTTCTGCGTGGTTACCTATCATCGATAAAGATACATAGTACATTCGATGATGTACAATGTCTTCGTCAGTTAGTCATATTGAATTTTGTTACGAATTTCGATGGAGTTCTTGTTTAAAATTCTTCGTCGCCTTTATCACGGTAGCGTAACGAATTGGTGAAAAAGTATTTATCTAGAATGATTTGTCGCCGAATATATGGAATCGACATTTAAAAATTCGTACGCCAATGTTACGCTGCAGCTCGCATTGGCGTGGAACTTTGGGACGCGAAGCGTGTCCAACGCGAAGGCACACCGATTGATAGATGGTGGGAGGCGGGCGTGTTATCAGTTGGTCCCTTAAAGCGACTCTGAAGTCATCAAATTAAACGGTCGAAAAAACTTTTGCCAAGCACGAAGAGTCGGTGCGCATCCTCGGCCTCCACCACTCCAGCCGTACTCAACGTAAGAAGTGCTCTCACGAAGAACTCGCAAAAGAGCGCGCATCTCGTTCTTCGGCGTCGATTTAGGTCGTTAACGGTAAAACGGCGTTTGCGCTCCGCGAAACCAAAGAAGACCCGTTACGACGGCTCTCGATTTTGCTGACGTGCCTCGCGCGATTGCCATGTAATTGCACCTGCACGAAAATTGCGTCACCGTGCTTCTTTAAACGTTCTCCACGGTTTCCACGGTTCTAAAGATCCTCGAAGACCTACGTTTTTCATCGAACCTTCGAGTTTCGATATTTTTTCTTTCATTGACTCGAGTTTGCAAATCGGTGATGCACGGTATTCAAAGAAAAAGAAACAACACGTACGCGTGTAAAGCATAAGGGTATTAGTAGTATAAGAATTTCGAGTGTGTCGAAAGATGACACGTTTGTCACGCAACGCGCGCGTCATCACGTTAATCTTTCTCGATTGCTTGGAAACGTTCGAACGTTTCCATGTTGATCGCCGCTCGAGCGGACAATAAAATCCGAAACAAGACAGGACGCGCACCACATACTTATATATATACAGAGACAATGTTATACCGTATAAAGAAAACGAAAGAGGATGTACCATTAATCGACATCCTTCTGAATCGAACTGTATTATTCTATCTTACCTAAACAAATTCAGTCCTCGTGTGTCGTATTGTATCTAACCTTTTATCTTGCTTGCACTTTTCCAATCATACATGGACATCTGATAAACACACATACATATATATGACGTCGTATAAAGAACGAAAAACACTAATGACTGTATCGCTTCTGACCGTGTCTCACCTATCGATTTACGATCTATCGATTTCTTTAGTTACCGAAGCACAACTGTGTCACAACCTCAAATTTCAAGGATTCAATGAACTATGACTACTATCGGTTGCACTTTTTGCGAAGAATCGGAACCGAATAAACGCGCGAACTGTTTCACTATACGAATATACACGATTTAACGCGGCCTCTTTTCTTTTTATCGACTTGGGCGATACGCAGCATATTCCTTACCTAACGTATCAAATACTCGGCTCGCGTGTCACGTCGCAGCCTAACGAGCCTGGCTGCACCTCCGATTCGACGAAATATCATTCCACGTCTCCCAGCCACCGGTGAGACGACGAGACCTTCGACGAGCCTCACTTTGTGAGAGGGACGCGCAGGTATAACACGACGACGTTTGCAATTGGACCTCGAAGCCCACGATGAGACTCTCACTCGTTCGAGCCCCGGCACGACACGTCGCGGTGGCGTCCCGAGGAACAAGAAGCCGAGTAACGACGATCACACAAAGGACAATCGATGCTCTGCTCTCTCTGAATTCTCACTGATATCCGTCGCACTAATTTCACACGCTACGAATATATATATATGTATATGTATATATATATGTATATATGTATACATATATATACATATACGTATGTATATCACGTTCGGAACACCCGTAATATATTACCGACGAATCTTGCGTTAATCGATGTATTGCGTGTCCGATGTTTTTGTTTTGTTGTACGTACGCGATATGCAACGGTTGTCCACTCCTTCACGTTGTCCGCCCAAACGAGAGCCGTGCTCGCGTCTTTTCACGTCCGTACGTCGCGGGCGCCGATGGCGGAATGAACCGGTGGCGCCGCGAGCGCCGACACAGGCGCCCTCGTGAACTAACTCGCCTCTTCTACCGACACAAACACAACCTCTTACCAATACGATGGACCTACGCTCATCGATGCCAGAAATACGCTGCACGAATACACGGAAAATGAGTAGGATCGTACGACAGCTACACTCCGCCGAATCTATAATGGATATTCGCACCGACGGACCACCTGGCCCGCCTCCCCTCGTTACACCATCTAACGGGTGTCCACTGATTTACACCAATACGTACTATCGTGTAAGTACGTATCGTCCGATACACGTTGCATTTTTCCAGCCACCGTGTAGTATTTGAAGGGCAAATCGGTGTGGCTTTTGTTTCCCCGATCGTATTCGTGTTTGACGACATCGAACAATTTGTAATTCGGCGTTTTCATGATTTTTCTGTCGACGGAATTTGTCGAGTCAAGGTGTTCCGGGGTTACTAATTAGATTTAATGTAACATAAAAAATCTTAAAAATCCCACGATAAATTCGAATTGATGACTTATAATAGAAAAATTATAGTGACCCATACGAGATACAAAAGGAAAGGAATATTGATGTAAGGATTCCAGAAAATCATCTGGTCCTTCTAGTTTCTTTCTTACGAGCAACAACGCGTAAACGGATTATTACTATAAGCACAGATAACTGTGATAAGGTTGATACAGTTACCTCGTTACCCTTCTGTCGTAATCGTAATAAAACCTTCACTGTTCTCGAACTCTGCTCCCTGTAACTACGTTAATTGGCTTCTGAACAGCGTACACCGGTTCTGCGCGACCCAACGAACTAACGGGTGTCTATTTTTTACTCGCTTCGATTCCTCGACCAACCCCTCTTAACACACACGTGTTCACAAACTCTTCAGTTTGCTTCTCCGATGAAAGCATCATGACATAGAAGAGGCCAATAAAACATTGATATAGCAACACAACGAACGTTTCATAAATTTTATCGATCATTCGTTCTCGATCGATAAAAGGTACGACAAGTCGTAAAAATTGGTCAGTATTTGCACGATGATTGAACCACGCCGACGTAAATAGCATCGGCGAGGACGCGAGACCGAGCCCTTCCATTGGTGGGTTTTTTCAGGACGTTCTTCGATCCACGCAGTGGTTGAAACGCCGCAGTCCAGTCCTTACCAAAATTGAATATCACCAATAGGACAATAATTAAACGATTACCTGTTTCTTACTATGAGAGCACATGTCTCTCGTGTTCGAACTATTTCGAACATGACGCTACGTTTCATGTACTTTGCTTTCTACTTTTCGCTATATGACAATTGACCTATACTATATACCAAATGTAAAGAAATTTTTTGTAATACCGGAGTGATTGGCAACGTGGTGAATCATAAAACTGTTTCGCGGTAAAAAATAGGGAATAAGACTTATCGTGGTCTTCTCCGAACCTTCATTTCGTCTTCTTTTACGATAATCTTAATTTAAAATGTTTGAAGATGTTATAAAGATCTTTACCAATTTTTCGAAGACTTATTATTCACAGAAACACGTATCGGTCATGAACAAAACGCAAATGCACTTTTATCTACAGATAACAACAGTTTATTACTACGATGTAACTAAAGTTTACAAATTACGACGAAAACGAATTGGTTTATCGCTTACATGGCGAATCTCCTGAATATAACAATTTTTTTATCGTTTCCGTTACGAATAAGTTATATCACATTTATATTTACAAATACTAAGATTGACCAGTTGAAATTAATTTCTATTTACTAACTATTAACCCAATAAAAAGATTTGGATTAAGAAATGACATGGTCAATAGATTCAGAGTAAATACGTTTCCATAATAAAGGTTAAATCAACGTACAATAATCGAACGGCTAGTATCCTACACGCGTTATTCCATCGTCGTAGTAGTGTTCCATGTGATTATGCATTTGCACGTCAGCTATCGCAATATGCAATTAGTTGCATCGAGTAATAATGCATTTCCTTATTTACATCTAGTTAATATAGCGTAGGGGGTAGAGTCTGAGGAAAAGAGCTGACAAGCGTGCAACGAATTCAGCTGTTACATCTCTACCTTCCGATGTAATCTTGGAAATAGAGGGACTTTGAGGAAACTCATTACAACTGCTCGCACTTTGTCATCGCCTTCGTCGTGCTCCTTCGTCGACACCGTTGCGCCGACTCGAAAGCATTGGCGGACGTTCATTTCTTATCCGAAGAAAGAGAAAAGCGAGCCCCTCGGTTTCATTCGAGATACCAAGCCGCGTTCCCAATATCCGCTAAAACAGAAAACTGATTCGAGACACACGTGTACACGCCGATGGAGAACGTCGTGATTCTAAAGTAGCCGAGAATTTGTCCGCGGTATTAATAGCGTTTGCAACTATTCGTATTATTTTGGTTGCGTAATAACGTATGCTAATATATACGTTACGAGACATTTCATACCGTCGTTAAGCATAATGGACACGCGTTTAAAATGAACTACTAGTCGATCAGGTAATTGTAATTGCTTATTAATTTGCATTCGATTGCGCAATACACAGAATATATGAAGATCATAGGGAAAGAATACGATAAGTCATATTTCCTACTTTTCACGGTTTTAGGATTCAAGTATATTGTCAATCAGTTCCATGTTAAATTTACAAGTTCATGTTAATCATAAAAATCACCAAAATGTTATTTATCACGTTTCCTCCTGTAATCTTCGTACGTATACGATTTGTCGCATCGATAGAAACGAGATCAGACAAATCAGAAGAACGAAGACAAACAAAAGATGGAAAAAGATAGAGAGCTCGTAGTAGCAGCCTTCGTAAGAGGAAAGTCCCCTCGCCTATTTTTTTCTCCCCATGGTGGCCGCGGATGCTCGCATTTCGCCATCGTGTTCAGGTTCGTCGTTGCGCCGGCTCGAAAGTATCGGAGGACAGTCGTTTCTCATCCAGAGAAAGAGAGGAGTCGTTGGTTCGGTCGCGTACCTCGCGAACCACGACGCGTAAAGAAAGAAGAAAAGGAAAAGGGAGAGAGAGAGAGAGAAAGAGAGAGGGAGAGGGAGAGAGTAAGTAAAAGACACGTTGTGAGGGAGAAAGGGAGAAGAGATGGTTTCCTCGATGCTGTAAGACGATGGAAGGGATACCAGGCGCGCGGAAGGGACGGGAGGGAGGGGGTAGCGAGCCAGAGAACGGGAGGAAGGGGTGTGCGATGGTAAAGGGGGTGGCGGAAGGGGGAGTGAACAGGGAACGAGAAAGGAAGGGAAAAAAGGCACGTCGTCCGAGTGGATGCGATACGCGTTGGAGATCGTACGCAATGCCTCTGGCTATCTAGCTTAACTCGTGAAAGCCTAACGAACGTTCTCCTCTTACCGACTACGTGAATTTCTGTCGTGCGCGCGGCGATCGCCTTCTCCGCGGCCAGACACCTGCGCGAGATAATGTCTCGTAATAGCTTCTGCACGAACCTCGGCGACCAGCCGACCCGTAATCTTTGGTAGTTTTCGCACAGCCACGGTATAAGATCGAAAATCGTACCGGAAGAATGGAATCTCTGTGATTTATATACGCGCGAGAACGTATATACGCTCGTTCCGAGTATTTTTCTATGAGTACATATATATACGTATGTACATAGGTGCATGTTTACAGGAGAAACTTGGCCGGTTCACGGGGCTCGTAAATACGAGATTTGTAGTCAAGCGGAAAGTAAATATTTTGAAGAATAAGTAGGCATCAAGATTTGATAACTTTCAAAGAGTTGTATTTCAGAGTATAATAGATATGCGTGTGCATAGTTGGAATGTTGAACTATATGTAAACACGTAGTAAAATTTTATAAATGATTAACGAAGATTGATTTCTTTGAAAGCGACGTGAATATATTTATTGCAACCTTGACACAGTTTCCGGGATCGTCTCTTCCTAGTTTCGAGAGAATCTCATACTTCGGAATTCACCTTCGAATCGTGAAACAAGACAGTTTTATCACTAATGCGCTCTGCACCTTGAAACATATGTTCTACGGAATTCTCTCGTATCGCGGCTATATATCGATGCCGGGTAACATTGTAATACGATACATGATGATATTTCATCTACTTTGCGGAGAGCGTGTATATGTACTATGTATTGCGTACGTATGAAACCCGGTGGAATACATGGAACCAAGCAAGTGTAGAAAGACACATCATATGGAATCTACGTTGATCATTCAACTCGTGGAGCTGCGTTAACACACCGAACTATTCACAATTTCCACTTCTTCATTTTCATAGATATCTATCTACGAGTCAATTCATTTCTTAATGTGAGAAGCTCGCGAAAGATAATTACACGAATCGAAACTTACGAGTGATATGTGATTGTGTCCGAAGAATGCATGCTGGTGACAAAAATCTATTTTTTCAGAAAAGCTTACTTGAAGCTTGATAAACTGTTTCTTTCGTATTCGTGTTTTTATAGTAACCAAATGTATGGAAGATGATTGTTCCATAAGCTTCTCAAGAGGCAAACTAATCGATTCCATTTTTTATTCATTACCCAATTTCGATATATATATATATACATACATATATATATATATATGTAAGTATGCAATTAAAGACTAACAGTGTCATATAATATTATACACAAGTTCAACTACTCTCTGCAAAATTCAAGATCGAATTTTAAGGTATCGAATCTTGGGTGATTCAAATAACCCTAATAATGAGTTCTGAAAAGAAGAGGGAGAAATAACGCACGCGTTGACGATAGTGGTAGCCAGGGCGGCTGGCAATTTACAACGGCGCAAAACAATTCGGAGCCACGTTGCCGTTGCTGCGTATGGATCGAGCTTTAGAGGCGGACGGTCTCGCGGATCTCTTTGTGCAACACGAGGGCCGCAGGGCCATCTTCTTTCTCTTCTCTGGACGGCCTCTGATACCTATTCCCCTCCTTCTTTCCTGCTTTCACATCTTCCTTCTTCTTCAACAGCAGCAACGGCGGCAGCAGCGTCTCCTCTGACGCCGCTCCTCTGTCCTCGCGACGAGTCATCTCGTTTAGGTCGTGCAAGCTGAGCAAAAGGGGGAATGAGTAGGACTCGATGGCGCGCGGAGACGCCGGGCGTTCGAGGAGCGGGAAGGAAGGGGCTCGCTAGCTTCGGC